CCTGTCGGTCCTGGAGAGTGTGGGCTTCCGCGTGGGCCAGGCTCTAGGCGAGAGGTGAGAGCGGCCCCTCCTGCTCTCCCCCAGCCTGGCTGGCAGGGTTGGGCAGGCCCCAGGCGGGGAGGGTTACATTGCTCCATGTGGGAGTCAGGCCTGGCTTCCTCCCTCTTCCTGGCCTGGCCCCACATCCTCAGCCTGGCACTGCCCCACCAGGCTACCCCGAGAGATGCTGGCCTTCAGGGAGGAGCTGGATGTCCTCAAGTTCTTGTGCAAAGACCTGTGGCTGGCCATATTCCAGAAGCAGATGGACAGCCTGCGCACCAATCACCAGGTGGGAGCACCCAGGCCTGCCAACCCGCCCAGCTCCCTCCCAAGGGTGTGGCCAGGAGAGTGGGAGGGGAAGCCCCAGTGCCAGAGCAGCAGGTCCCGGGACCTGCCCAGAACTTTCCTACCAGTGGCCGCAGCCCTTAGTGGGTCTCTGATCCTCTAAGGGAAGCCAGGAGGCTGCACTAGGGTATAGGGGGTGTTTCCAGAACCTCCCCAGCCCCGCCTACCAGGAGTGAGCCATCCATAGGCAGAAAGCCCCTGGTGGCCTCCTGCCCTCTCCCCAGTGCAATGCCACTTGTCCCAAGCTGGTCCAGTCCCCCAGTGAACACCCACGCTGTGCCGCTCCTCTGCCGCTTCCTGGGCTGGGTCCCCAGTTTTTCTGCACAACCCTGGGAGGTGGGGGCGGGACCCACACTCCCCAGGGCAGGAGTACTCAGCCGGTCAGGAAGCCCCAGGTACAGAGCACTGGAGGCCAAGGCTGTGACTCTAGCAGTTCTCACAGATGGGGCCTTCCCAGCCTCAGCCCAATCTAGCACTCAGGCTGGGTTCCCACTTCCCCTCCCTGCACTTCAAATGTACGGGCCCCACCACCACCCATGGCCTCTCCTCTCCCCCAGGGGACCTATGTCCTGCAGGACAACAGCTTCCCCCTCCTCCTCCCCATGGCTGCTGGCCTGCAATATCTGGAGGAAGCGCCCAAGGTATGGGAGGGAGCTGGGGCCTGTCCACACCTCCCTTCCTACTGTGTACTCGGCCCCAACCCCATGTCAGGCCTCTCCCCAGGCCTAAGGGGTACCCCAGACCTCAGGTGCCAGCCTCCCCTCTCTTCCCACACTGGTCTGTGTCCCCTTTCCAGTTCCTGGCCTTCACTTGCGGCCTCCTGCGCGGCGCCCTCTGTACCCTGGGCATCGAGAGCGTGGTCACCGCTTCCGTGGCAGCCCTGCCTGGCTGTGAGTCATGGCGGTGGGGGGGGCGGGATTCTTCTCATTTTTTGAGTTGCTGGGGGCCTCGGAGCTCCGGCTTGCTCCTATATTGGTGCTTGGGAGGCAGCCCCAGGCATAAGTCACCTGCTCAGCCACACAGCAGGTGCAGGCCCATCTGTGCCCCTGGCCCCATGACTTCCCCAGCGCTGCAGAGAGAACCGTCTGGCACAGTTCTGGAACAGAGCGTCCTCCTGGGGAGCAGGCTGGGGGCCGGAGTGCAGTGTCTGGCGGTGTGAACACCTCCCCCAGCACAGGAGCCCAGGTGGACGTAACAGGAGTCATCCTCGCTGATACTTGGCTCCTGGGAACTTGCAGCCTGCCTGCTGGGGTGTTCTCTGTCAGACAAGCTGCAGCCCCATTCCTGTCTGGGGACAGCCTGCCCAACCACTTCCCCCAGTTATTTTCCCTCTGCCACTTCCCCAGGCCCACTCATGGGGGCCCCAGTGGGTAGGACTGAGGAGGCATACCACAGAAGCCTGTGCAGGGCCCTCATACTCCTGGTTACCCACGCAGCCCAGGGATCCAGGCCACATGGGCGGGGGGAGGAAAAAGCCCCAGCCCAGCCCTTAGGCTGTCAGTGTGGGACAGGGTAAGCCCCTGAGAGCCATCCAGGTGTCCTCTGCGTCTCCCTCATCCCAGCCTCCAGCCTAAGCCAGTCCTTCTCTTCCAGGTAAGTTCCAGGTGGTGATTCAGAACTCCTGAGCCCACCCCACACCTGCTGAGCACACTGCTGCCCCCACCCTCACTGGCCTCAGGAGACAGTGGCTGCCTTGGACCCTTGGCTGCTGCATTTGGGGGGGGCTGGTGCTAGGTATCCCAGGCCCTAGGGGTCACATGTACTCAGGAAGTGGGTATCAAAGCAAGGTGGGGTGTCACAGGAGGCAAAGAGATGCCAGCCGTGATCTGGACTGGGGTGGGACTCCTGCCTCAGCAGTGTCACTGCCCAGCAGGTATTCAATAAAGGCTGTGTGTGTGGAATCCGACTCGGAGCAGTGGGGAAGGATCAGCGGGGCGACCGTCACAGGGCCTGCAGGGGAGTGGGCACCCTCTCTGGCCCCCATGCCCTTCAGACCCTCCCCTGCCAGGCCCAACTCCGCTCCCTCCCTCCCCAAACTCCTGGCAGAGGGATGCTGGCCCCCGGCACAGGCGGCCCTGTTAGTATCTCTGCCAAGTCAACAAGTCTGGGGCTGCCCTCTGCCTAGCAATGTATATGGAACAGAGCGTCTTCCTGGGGAGCAGGACTGGGGGCCCCTGGAGTGCAGGCAGGGGTGGGCTGGAGAATGCATGGGGGTTGGGGGAGGCAGGCACCCTCATGCACACATATGGCTCCTACCCGCTCCTGATGCCTGTCCTTGGGCAGTGACCTTTACACTGCCCCCTCCTGCCATGCTCCCATCTCTAGCATCTGGGGATACCTGGGCTTCGCCACCCACTGCCTGACACGGGTTAAGTGCCCAGCCTCAGAGCTGGCAACTGAGGCTGGGAGTGACCCAAATGCAACGAGAAACGGTCCCCTTGCTAAAGACACTCCCCTGTAGAGTGCGGTCCAGTCACCCCATCAGCCCCTACTTGGGTCATCCCTTCCCAGCCCACCTGGCTGAGAGCGGCCCTGATTTGCATCTGCCACTGCAGTGCTGCCCCTGCCTGGCCTGCTCCCCAAATTCCTGCTCCCTCTAGTGTCCAGCATCTTCCTGGCCATGTGTCTTATTGTTTACCTTGGGCCAGGCTCCGTGCTGGGGTGGGCAGTGGGGGCTTGACTTGGAGGCCCACCACAGACACCAGCCCCGCCTTCCTGGTGGGCCAGGGGGGAAAATTCCCAGAGCAGCCAGCGTGAGGGGTAGGGGAAAAGACAGAGCCGGTCCTGTCCCAGGTAGCAGGAAGGGCCCTGGTTCTGGCCATAGGGAGCAGAGTTTGCTCACCTGGGTAGAACCCAGGGCCAGGTAGGTTCCCTTTATCTTGTCCTGGGCACTGTTCCGGGGCTGCCTCCCCCATCCCCATCAGAGCACCGTGTCTCTCAGGGAAGGGACTGTTGACCCCATCACACCAGCAGCCTCGGAGTCAGGGCCCCGGAGAGCTGAGGGGTCTCCAGGGCATCTCCTGCCAGGCTCTCCCTGGCCCTCACCTCTCAGAGGGCGTCTGTGGAGTCACTGAGTGCTGGCCCCAAAGGCAGGAGACAGAGCCTGGGAGTAGCAGCCGCTGCCTGCTTCCAAATCCCCGCTCTGCCTTCGTGTGCCCTGGGCCCAAGGACTTCACTTCTCTGGGCCTCAGTGTCCTCATCTGGGAAGTGGGCATCACAGCTGGCCCCTAGATGGTGGTGAGGAAGAGGGGCTACCGTGCGGCAGGCCTTGATATGTGTGCTGTTCCCCTCGTCCTGTGGACGTTGGTTTAGAGCAGCGCCGGGTAAATGGGTCAGCACGGCCCCGGTCAGGCGCACCAGGCCCTGAGCCTGGGACTGCCACCCAGTGCTTCCCTTGAAACAACCATGAGAGGCAGGTACCCACTCAGCAGTGAGGAAGCTGAGGCGTGGAGAGTGAAGTCACGTGCCCAAGGTCACATAGCTGGGCCACAGAGGAGCTGGCCTCTGAGCTGGACTCCGTCCTTATCCCAGCTCCTTGCCCCACAGCAGAAGTGCCCTGACCCGTGGCTGCCTTGAGGAGACTGAGCACTGCAGGCTGCATCTCCATTCCCTACCAGGGATAGGGGCACAAGGCGGAGTCCAGTCCAAGCCCCGTCCTCGAGTGCAGAGAACATCGGGACAGGCGGGCGCTACGGAAGGGGTGGGGACAGGCGGGCAAACCGGTCGGGCGGGCGGGCGCTGGGCTGGGGCCTCCCTCTGGATGGGCCTGTGCTGACAGTCCTAGCTGACAGCAGCTCCCGGGGCAGGCAGCTGGGGCTGTGAGGCCACGGCACATCAGGTACGAGGGGACCTGGGACGGGGGTGGGGGGTGGGGAGTGGTGGGCCGGTCCCCAACCCTCAGCACCCCAGTTTCATCTGCCCCTCAGCGTCTCCCCATCCTTGTCCCCCACCCAGCATCCTTCCCAGTCCTGCTTTGGCTCTTCACATTCAAAACTCCGTACACCCATCGCACCTGAGTTTGCTGAGCCTCTCCCCAAATTGGACCCCTGCGGTTTCGTTGCTCCCCCACAATTCCCCTCCACTGCATCCTTCAGTCCCCACAGGTACCCAGCTCTATTTTCCTTCACCCTGCTTCTTAGCTGCTCCCCAGCTCACTGCACTAGCTCCATGTCCCTCCAAAGCGTGCCAGCCTCCCACAGCACCCTTAATCACCTTAATCACCCCTGTGTCACTCAGCCACCACCCTGGACCCCCTATTTCCCCAGACCACCTCTGCTTAGCACTCCCCAGTGTCCTGGCCTTAGAAACTCCCAGGGGCTCCCAGACACTCAGCCTCATGTTAGCCCCTAGCCACCCCCAGTGGTCCTCCGTTCCCTTCTCTGGCCATCCTTCCTCATCCTGCCTCTCACTCTACCCTGAAGGCTACCTCTGTCCCCTCCTCCCGAGTGACCTAGGAACCCAGCATCCGGGACTTGGCCTCTCCCCGTCCACGCTGTCAGGCAGGACAGGGACCCTGACCTCAGCTCTCTGCTGTTGGTGCCCCAGAGGCTACGCTGAGCTTGTGTGCTCCCTCCTGTCCCAGGAGCAGGCCCCCAGCGCTCAGCTGCCCGGCCGCCATGCACAAGCATTACAAAGTCCACTTCGCCAAGGACGCCCAGACCCCTAGCAGGCACTACTTCTGGGACCCAGAGTTGGGGCACCAAAAAGGTACAGGTTCAGTTTGGGGGTGGGTGATGGCTGGCAGAGGCCTTGAGGGAGCTGGAATGAATGGAGGAACAGAAGGGCAGCCACCAGCGCTCCCCCCAGAGGCGTCTGCCTAGTGGAGGTCAGGACCCAGGAGCAGGATCACAGGGCCTGGGGTCCCAAAGATAGGAGCCTGGGCTGGAGATGGAAGCTGGGGGCCGCCTGGCCTGCCCTTCCCTCCCCAAGCCCCCCAAGCCTGGAGGGAGCAGTGTGCTGGGAGTTGGGGAGGAGAGGGAGCCCTCACACTGAACCTGTCTGGATGAGGCTGGACCGTTTCTGGTGGCGGCCACAGGTGTTCTTACTCAGGGTGGGGAGTCGGTAGTGCCCTTCCATTGGGGCTGATTCAGCCTCCTCAGGGCCGGAGCTTCCCAGGTCACCATCCTTCCTGCCACCCTGGCCTGAGCTGGGGACAAGGTACACCCTGCTTCCCAATCCCTGGCCTACCACTCTCCACGGCCTCCACCCATCACCCTGGCCTTCCTGGGCCAGCCAGGCCAGCTCCCAGTGGATACTCTGTTTCCCTGACCCCTGCACTGGGCGCACCCCTAGGGATCCCGGAATCTGGAGTGGCAAGCACCTGCCTCCACTGAAGCCCCAGCCTCAGGCGTCTCTCTGGCCCCTGACAAGTCCAAGCCTGGCCCCTTCCCCACTCCTACCCATGCGACAGCACAGACCCCGGGCCCCTCCCCTGCCCATATCTCCCCCTCACATGATATGACTTTCTGAGGGGCCTCTGGGGCTCCCAAGAATACTCCGGCCCCCCAGTTCTACCTGAAGACTTGATCTGGCTCATGCGTGCCGGTGCCCCCCGGAGGTCAGAGACGCAGGCCCAGTCACCCCCACTTCCTTCCTTCCAGGATGCTGTCATCCGCGGCGCCAGGACTCAACGGCCCTCCGAGCCCATGGGCCCTGTCGGTCTTCCCCCCAGTCACACTGGCAGCTGGCCTACCACAGCCACCAAGCAGGTGGCAGTGGCTGGCGCCGGGCCCCCCCACCCTCCGTCCAGCAGCAGCAGCAGCGGCAGCCCCAGCCCCCACCTCCCAGCCCCATGCGACAGCGGCTCTGCCCCATTCATGAAGCCCAGAAGGGGCTGCCTGCAATCTCCACTGTCCCCAGGGGACCGGCTGGCGCCCCCCAGGCGCCCCCCTTAGTCATCACGGCACTCGCCACAGCCAGCAGCGGCCCTGCCCTACGCTCTGCGGCCAGCGTCTTCCTGGAGCCCAGCGAGCCCACTGATGCCCGGCCCCTGCCTGCCCCAGCGGCCTGCGGCTCCTTCACCTACAGCTCCGGTGCTCACCCCGGCCTTCCTGGGGGCTCCGTGCCTGCTCCTGCCACCTCACTTCTCGCCTGCTCCCCTTGCACCTGCCTAGCGTCATCCACACTCTGTCCCTGCTCCCACCGCCTCACTTCCCACCTGCTCCCCTTGCACTTGCCTTCTTCATCCACACCCTGGTCCCTGTCCAGGAGGGGTGCGTCTCTGGCCCCCGGGGCTCAGGCTGGCTCCCTCTGCTTTGTATGTCGGGGTCTAAGGCTTCCAGGCCAGGCCTATCCGGCGCCTCCATCCTGGGCCAGGCAGCGAAGGCCTCCCTCTCGCTCCCCGTCTCGCTCTGCCGACACCCTAGCTGTGCTCTGGTCTCTTCTCAGCCACCTCCTTTGGCCCAGCAGGCTACAGGGGACATGGGGCAGGGATGGTGAGCCCTGGCTTGTTGGCGGCTCTGGGTGGGAGAGAGAGCTAGGGAGTGACCTGAGGAGCGAGAACTCAGGTCAGCAACGGGAGGAAGCACTCCCTCATTCACTTCATGACTAGATATCCAGCACCCTGAGTGTGCCAGGCCGTTTTGGGGGCACAGTGGGGAGCAGGATCAACAGACATCTCTGTCTTAATGAGAATCACATTGTATTGCAGCCGGGAGCGGGTACAAGAAACAAGGAAGTTTAAAAGTGTGGCTGGGAGCCCAGTCACAGTGGCTCACGCCTGTAATCCCAGCCCTTTGGGAGGCTGAAGCAGGTGGATCACTGGAGGAGGGCAGAGTTTCGAGACCAGCCTGGCCAACATGGTACAACCCTGTCTCTACTAAAGAACAAAAATTAGCTGGGCATGGTGGCAGGTGCCTCTAGTCCCAGCTACTCAGGCGGCTGAGGCAGGAGAATCACTTGAGCCCGGGAGGTGGAGGTTGCAGTGAACCAAGATCACACTACTGCACTCCAGCCATGTTGACCAGGATGGTCTCGATCTCTTGACCTCGTGATCCACCCGCCTTGGCCTCCCAAAGTGCTGGGATTACAGGCTTGAGCCACCGCGGCCGGCCTTAATGCAACGTTTGAGCAGAGGCCCTGGGGAGACCTGTTTCCGCCCAGCAAGGAGCCGGCACCTGGGCTTTTTCCCTAAAGGAGGCAGGAGCTGAGGAGGGACGTGAGCTGATCTTCAGGAGAACCGGCTGTGGGAGAAGGAGATTATGAGAGTCCAGGCGAGAGGTGCTGGCAGCCTGGCTGGGCGGGGGCAGCAGAGATGGAGACACAGCTGGTTTCTAGGTCTGGCTTGAAAGTGGAGCAAGAGGGACTCAACAGGACTCTAGGTCGGGCAGAGCCTTGTCACCCGAGCCTCAGGGCTGTGATGTCCATTTCACACACAGGGAAATAGAGGCTGGATGAGGTGGGGCCGCCCAGTGATGCGGCCGAGCTGGAATCAGGCCCGCCTGGCACACACCTCAGGAGACCTACTGGAGTCTTCCTCTTGGCCTCCTGGCTCTACTGCCAGGCGTGGCCCATTTCCCATGGCCCCCCAGGCCTCTCTGAAAGTGGCCATGTTGCCCTCACTGTGGACCTCAAGGCTGGCCCCATGTACCTCCCAAAACTGAACCCTATCTTTTTTAGTCCCCATTTCCAGGTCTGAGAAGCAATACTCAGTGGGGACAGGGTGCCCTCTGCAGAGTGGGTGCTGTAGTGCCAGTGCCTGGTCCCCAGGCCCTAAATGGCCACTGGAGATGATGGCACTGACCGAGGGCTTGGTGCTGGCCAGACCCTTTGGTATCCCCACTACCCGGCGTCTCTGCCGCACCACTCTTCAGAGGGAACTGAGCCTCTTGGAGGTGGCTCTCCCTGGGGTCTGCAGAGAAAGGCAATAAGGCCAGGACTGCAGCTTCAGTCCGTTCATCTCCCAAGCCTGGGGTCAGGTGGGATTAGTGACTTGCCGGCATGGGGTCAGGTACCGGATGGACAGAAGCTGAGAGAAGCCGGTGGTCCAGGGCCTCTCCATGCTGGGGCTGGGCCAGCAGAGCAGGCAGGAAGGGCCTGGAGTCCTGCTGATGGTGGAAAGTGCTGTCTCAGCATCCCAGGGCCTGGATCCCAAATAAGGGCCTTTGGGATTTTCTGGCGGGGAGGGGTATCATAGGCCAGTGACCAAGCAAGCCTGGTCACCTGGGGCCGGGAAAGCTGACTTCCTGCAACCTCAGCCTGGTGGGACCCAAAGGGGCATGTCTGGCTCTGAAGGTGGAGGCAGCTGGTGGCCACAGAAACCTCCACTGCAGGGTTTGACCTGAGTCCCCTTAGCATGGGGTGCCAGGGAGGGGCCAATGGTGGTGGCTGTGGAGGGGAGATGGGAGGAGGGTGGTGCCTGGCCAGCCGCCCTGACTCAGTGTCCCCACCCTCACCCACCAGACATTCTAACAGAGGATGACGTCTACTGCAGCTGCCTGGCCAAGACACTCTGCCACGTGCCTGTCCCTGTGACCGTGGGTTTCTATGCCCCCTTTGGCTGCCGCCTGCACATGATGCTGGACAAGATCACGGGTGAGGAGCTGTGTGTGTTCACTGTGGGGAGGATGAGAAACGGGGCCTCTGGTGCCCGCCCAGCTCCAGGCTTCTCCCACACCCCCCAACCCCTGCAGCCAGCCTGTCCCAGCCCAGGCCCTCCCCAAGCCCATGCCTATACCCCAGGCTCTGCTCCCCTGGCCTCCTGACCACCTCCAAGTCTTACCCTTTCCTACCTCCACCACCAAATCCACTCCAAAAACTCTAAAGGACAGGTCTGGTACTATCCTTCCTATGCTCAGTGCCTCCCATGCTCCCCAGCACCTGAGGCAGAAAGCCCAGGGTTTTTATTGAGGATGCAGGCTTGTGCCAAGGCCCTTCTGCTATCTGTGCCATAGACGCTCTGGTGCATTCACTCCCTGACCTCAAATTTCTCAAGATCCATTGTTCAGGCATTCCCACAGCACCTTCTGGTGCGCAGGGGACACAGTGGTGACCAAAGCAGGCAGGACCCCGCCCTTCCGGCTCACAGCAGCAGGGGAGAGAGACTTATCCTCAGACAGTGATGACCCAGACTGGGAATGGCTGAGGGCCCCAGACCCAGCCTGGGGATCAGGGAGAGCTTCCTGGAGGAGCAGCAGTAATTCAGGAAGATAAGACCAAGGCTATATCCTGCTGCCTAGCACACCTCGTTCTCAGCATCTCATTCATTCATCCCTTAGACGGACCACTTATCCCCTACTTCACTCTCAGAACCTTCCTAGAGCCCTCCACACCCTCGACCCCTTGCCCAGCCTTGGCTCTTTCTCGTGTCCCTTTTTGCGCCTTCCCATCGTCTCTCCTTTGCCGGCTCTACCTCTGCCCATCCTGCCCATCCGCTTCCGGTCCAAGCCTGGCTCCAGGCCTCTCCACCCACCGCCTTCTGCACCCACTTCTAGCTCTTTAAGGAGTGGCCGCGGCTCCCTTCCAGCCCCTCGACTCCGCTGGAGCGCCCTGCTCCGCCCGTGCTAGGCCCCTTCCCGGCCCCACCCACCCCGGCGGGTCTGCGGCTCCCGCGCGCTCCCTTCCAGCCCGGGCGTCTGCTGGGCGCTCCTTGTCTCTCCGGGAGCGCCCCGCCCCGTCTAGGCCCCGCCCACCTCGGCAGGTCTGTGGCTCACGCTGTTCTTGCGCTCCCTTCCCGCAGCGCTGATGCAGCAGGAGGCGGCGCAACGCGAGAGCGAGGAGCTGCAGCACGTGCAGTGGCGACCGCGCGCCGTGAGCGGCTGGGGCGTCCCGCAGCTGCTGTGGTACCTGGTGTTCCTGCAGCCCATCATCACCGAGGTGCACCTGCGGCGCAGGAACGTGCAGTTCCTCTTCATCCGCTTTAGCGCCTGGCAGTACGCGGGCACCGACAAGCTCTGGGCCGGCCTGGTGACCACGCTGTGCGAGGGCATCCGCCACCACTACGGCGCGCTGCCCTTCAGCGTGTACTCGGTGCTAGGCAACAAGCCGGCCACCAGGCAGGGCTGCTGCCACAACGAGTGGCACTGCCGGCGCCGCGTGTGCCTGGGGCTTCTGGCGCTGCTGGCGGCGCTGGGCCTGGGCGTGGGGCTGCTCTACCTGTCCCTGGGCGGCCACACGCCGGGCCACGGCGGTCCGAGCGGCAGCCTGCTCAAGGTGTTCGGCGGCGCGGCCACCACGCTGTCGGGCTCGGGGCTGCTCATGGCCGTGTACTCGGTGGGCAAGCATCTGTTCGTGAGCCAACGCAAGAAGATCGAGCGGCTGGTGTCGCGCGAGAAGTTCGGCAGCCAGCTGGGCTTCATGTGCGAGGTGAAGAAGGAGGTGGAGTTGCTCACCGACTTCCTGTGCTTCCTGGAGATCTACCAGCGGCGCCGGTTGCGCGTGGTGCTGGAGGTCACCGGGCTGGACACGTGCTACCCTGAGCGCGTGGTGGGCGTGCTCAACGCCATCAACACGCTGCTATCCGACAGCCACGCGCCCTTCATCTTCATCCTGGTCGTGGACCCCAGCATCCTGGCCGCGTGCCTGGAGAGCGCGGGCAACATGAAGGGCACGGCCGACAACGGCTACCTCTTCCTCAACCGCACTGTCACGCTGCCCTTCTCCGTGCCCATCATGGGCCGCCGCACCAAGCTGCAGTTCCTGCACGACGCGGTGCAGAGCCGCGACGACCTGCTGTATCGCGAGATCACACGCAAGCCGGGGGCCGCCGGGGGCAGCGGGGGCGAGAGTGCGCAGCTGCTGGCGGTGCAGACGCAGGTGGGGCCCGAGCGCGGGCAGGGCCGCATCGACGCGGAGGCGGCGCGGCGCATCCAGGAGGCGCTCTTCTGCCTGCACGACGAGCGCGACTGCCTCTACGAGTACGTGCCCGACAACGTGGTGTCCATGCGGCGCATCGTCAACACCGTGCCCATCACCGTACGTCTGCTGCAGCAGCAGCAGCAGCAGGGTGACTTCGGGGGCCCAACGCCGCGCCAGGCGGTGGCGTGGGTGGTGCTCGCCAACCAGTGGCCGTGCCGCCTGAGTTGGGCGCTGCAGTGCCTGGAGGACCGGCAGCAGACCGGGGGCGCGCCCGAGGGTCGCGCGCGCCTCTGGGACGTGTTCCGCGACAACAGCCGCGAGCTGCACACCATGACCAAGGCGTTGCAGAATGTTCTCGACCTGGACGGCGACCCCGAGCTCTTCGAGCGCTTCCTGGGCGCCGACTTCCCCTTCACTGTGGCCGAGGCGCAGACCCTGCTGCGCTGCACCGTCAACCTGGACCACTCCATCCGCCGGCGCATGGGCCTCATCCGAGCCGTCAGCGCACTCAAGCCGCCCAGCCCGCCCAAATCCCCTGCCCGCGATGCCCCCCACGCCGCCCACCGGACCAACAGCGCCTCTAGGGCGTCCCCATCGGGCCGTGCCGCAGGGCAAGCCGGCGAAGGCCACAACGCGGGGGACTTGGCCCATGCGGGACAAGCCATGGCCAGTGGCCTGAGCGCCCTTCTGTCCAGGGGAATCCAGGCCAGGTGGGCCCTAAATGGAGGACTTGGCGGGCAGCAGGAGGCAAGGGCTTCTCCATCTGCCCAGATGGGGGAATAGGGGGCTGAACTGGGGCCACAGCCCAGGGTCCCAATGAGGTCTGTGAATCTGAGCCAGAGCCATGGACATAGCCTCCAGGAGTGGGGCTGTGAGCCAGTGCCAGTGTGAGAGCGGTTGCAGAAGGACCAGTGAGGAACTCAGAGTATACGTGCAACAAATGGAGGCGTTGAGAGCCCTGAGTTGGTCCTTACATCCTGATCTGACCAGGGACCAGGCCTGCCCCATCTTGCCACCAGGGCCTGCCCGGTCCTGCCAAGCCCACTTCCTCCTCTGAGCCACGCTGGCCTCCTCAGCTGGCATCTCTGTGGCAGGAGGGGCTGCGGGGGCAGTGGGCGAGGCAGGCAAGGCTGCAGAGCTGGGAGATGACAGGCGGATGGGCCGGGTTGACTAAGGCAACATGGAGCGCCCAGGCCTCAGGGAATCCCAGTCCTTGTCCCCATGCCCTAGCCTGCCCCTCTGTGAGCAGGGCAGGAACTGGCATTTCCGAGGGTGACCTCAGTGAACTCAGCAGGCTGCTCCACCCCCAGAAAGGCTCCACCCTCAATGTAATGGGTTAATTAGATCTTATTGGCACCTCAGTCGACTGGGGTGGGTGGCACTAACCTCCCCCAGATAAATAACTGTCCACAAGATGTCTGCATTACAAGTCACTCCGGGGCCACCCAAGGGCCACTGGTTAGTCACTGACACTGCCGCACCAGCCCCTTGATGAGGACAGGGAAGTTAAGCAGAGATGAGACTACAGGGCCCAAGTCAGCCAGGCAGGAGGGGTCACACCAGGGCTTCCCACCTTCCCTCTGGGTAAAGCCCTGGGCTGGGGGGCGGGTGTCACTCCTCTGGGCAGTTCCCAATTCCTCATTGGTCCAATGTTCAGCCACACGCTCAAGCCCTGCGATACCTGGCCCAGTCCCATGCATGTGCGGGCAGGGGCCGCAGGGATCAATACTGAACATAGCCCTGGGATGAGGCTGAGACTTCTGAGCCAGGGCCCTGAGGCTGGCGGAGGGAACAGTTCCTGAGGAACCTGAGAGCTCTGCAAAGGCACCCATCCTCCAACCATGGGGCTGGGGTCACAGACCTCACAGTTCCTTAGCTCCAAGGCTGGGCACGGCATCCAAGTCTGGCCACAGCAATGGTGTCATCGGTGCATGCCAGTCAGTGGGAGCCCGCCGTGATCTTCCCTGGAGCTAAGTGAGCAGAGTTTTCTCATTCCTGGCCTGGCTAAGCTGGTAGGATATGCCTGGACCTTCTGGGAGCTGTCTCCCAGCAGCCAGGGAGCGCTGCTCTCAGAGGGAGAGGCATGGGTCCTCGTGACGTCATTGAGTCTGTTTCTGTAGATGTGCGGTTAGGGCCAATATATCCCTTAAGCCAGTTTCATTGGGATTGTTTCTTACCACCTGGAATCCAGGCTGAAAATAAATTTTCACTCCTGTTACCAGGAGTGTGTGCTGTGAGAGATGCTAACGTGCAGACTTGGGTGGAGGTGAGGACAGGACTGAGGCTCCCCCATGCCTCAGTAAAAAGCCGCACCAGCCTGGCCAACATGGTGAAACCCCATCTCTACTAGAAATATAAAAAAATTAGCCGGGCTTGGTGGTGCACACCTGTAATCCCAGCTACTCATGAGGCTTAGGTGCGAGGATCAGTTCAAACCAGGAGGCAGAGGTTGCAGTGAGCTGAGATGGTGCCACTGCACCGCACTCCAGCCTGGGTGACAGAGCGAGGCTCCGTCTCAAAAAACAGCAAAGCTGCAGCCTCTGTTACGTGGTACCAAGCAGTGGCCAAACTGTTGCCCACAGTATCTTCACGTGGGGCTGCTGTAAGAACTTGCACCTGCGTGGGCCGTGGGACCGGTTCTCACCAACAGAAAGGGAGCATGGCTGCCTTTCCCAGCAATGAGTTAAGGGAGCAGGTTTCCCTTCACTCCCCTCCCCCATCTGCCCACTTGGTGCTGGGACCCCTGAGGCCCTGGGGAGTGACAGCACCCTGAGCTTGGAAGGGACCTGGGTCCAGGAGTAAGTTGGTGAACAGCTGCCTGCCACTCTGAACATCCATGTGTGACAATAGGCATCTCCTGTGTTAGGCCACGGAGCTCCTCCATGAAACAGACCCCCTACATCTTCAGCTAAAGCTACCAAAACATGACAAGCTCGAGTGACACTTGGGTGGCTGAATGGAAGGGGAAGACAAGACGGCAAGGGGTATCCTCTCGGCCTCCAACCCTTGATCTGGGACCCTTGAGTCAGAAAATCAGGAGCGCTGCAGGCTGGTGTGCAGTTCCTACAGCTGCTCTCACACAGTCCAACAGACCACATGCCTTTGAAGAACAAGTGTATCATCTCTCGCTTCTGGAGGCTGCAAGTTGCAGATGAAGGGGATTCCTCTGTGCCTGCTCCCTGCTCCTGGCGTGCTGCTGGCCATCTCTGCACTCCCTGGCTTGCAAATGCCATCACCCCATCCTGTCTACATGTGGCAGTCTCCCTGTGCCCAAATGCCCCTTTTGGTAAGGACATCAGGGGCCAGGTACAGTGGCTCACATCTGTAATCCCAGCACTTTGGGAGGCCAGGACAGGTGGATCACGAGCCAGCAGATCGAGACCATCCCGGCCAACATGGTGAAACCCCATCTCTACTAAAATACAAAAACAAAAATTGCTGGGCATGGCCTGTAGTCCCAGCTACTCAGGAGGCTAAGACAGGAAAATTGCTAGAACCCAGGAGGCGGAGGTTGCAGTGAGCCAAGATCATGCCATTGCACTCTAGCCTGGGCAACAGAGCAAGACTCCATTCCAAAAAATAAAACAAAAATAAAAAAACTAAGGACATAGTCAGACTGGAGTAGGGCCCACCCGAATGACCTCATTCTCACTTGATGACCTTTGTAAAGACCCTGTTTCTAAGTGAGCTCACATTCTGGGGTACTAGAGATAAGGACTTTTAACATCTCTTTTTATGGGAGACACAATTCAACCCCCAACAGTAGGAGAGGCCCAGTTCCTCACTCCAAGCTCAATTTGGGGAAAGCAAATGCCAATCAAGCGACAGACTGGGAAGAGGACCCCTGTTCCTCCCCCAGCCCACCCCACCTGGGGTGAGGGGCAGATGGCCAAGGGGCTGGGGGAGACCCCAACACAACTGCCTCCACGGAGGCTGAGACCACAGCAAAGGCCAGTATTGACCAAGGGCCTCCTAAGATCTTTGGGGCATTGTGCTGACCCCAACCAGGCAAAGGACGGCGGTCTCAGTACCTTGAAGCAAACACCTCACATGCCCCGGCCTCACCCAGAGGGGCTGGATCCATGTCCACCAGGAGGGGGCCCCTTCTTCCCCTTCACCCAGAGCCACATCGAGCATTAGCAGAGCTGGGGACAGGCTGGCGGTGCAGGGACAGAAGGGTGCTGCTGGCTGCTGTTCTGTGTAGCTGCCCTAAGTCCCTCCCCCAAAACAGAGTCTTGGTCGTAGCTGCCCTGGGGAGCAGTTAGGACTCGCAGCTGCATGGGACCAATGGCAAACCAGCAGCGGCTTCATGAGGTGTTCCTCACCGAGGCCAGGGCGGCTGGGCAGCAGACTCCTTTTGTGCCCAGGAGCTGAATGACAGCAGGGTTCCAGCCAGTGACGATACCTGTGACCTCACCACACGTCATCCATGATAGCCTCCCACATGGGAAAGAAGGGGGTAGGTGGCCTCATTTTTTTTTTTTTTTGAGACAGGGTTTCACTCTGTCACCCAGGCTGGAGTGCAGTTGTGTGATCATCAATCATAGCTCACTGCAGCCTCAACCTCCTGGGTCAAAGCGATCCTCCTAACTCAGCCTCCTGAGTAGCTGGGACTACAGGCGTGTGCCACCATGCCCAGCTAATTTTAGTATTTTCTGTGGAGATGGGGTCTCACCATGTGTTAACTAGGCTGGTCTCAAATTCCTGAGTTCAAGTGATCCTCCCACCTCGGCCTCCCAAAGTGGTGTTGGGATTGCAGGTGTGGGCCACCATGTCCAGCCTGCTCTCTCATTTCCTAAAGGGAGAAAACAGACCTCCCAGAAATGCTCAACAGCCCCCTGTGGCACCCCAGGCCTGTGCTGGTGAAGGAGAACAAGCTCCCCAACAGGCTCCTCGGCACTGGCCTGGCCCCAGGCACACTCCACCTGCATGACACCAGGGCTGGCAGGGACAGGCTAGAATCTGTTCCCACTGAGGGACAGGTGACTAGCAGAGCCACACCACATCCAGTATCCTGGGATCCTAGACCTGAAGCTGGGAGGTATTCGGGGCCCATCTCTCCCTGCAGAAGGGATGGGTGTCAACTGGCCTGGCTGTGAGGTGGCTGTATGAGACACTGGAGCATGGACACAGAGAAGAGGAGACTGTGGGGGAAGATGCCTGGTCAGCCTCCTGAGCCCTGCCAGACACTGTTGACAGCCTGTACCCAGCCCACCCCAGCAGCCACCCCCAGGATCCCCATGAAGCAGACACTGGGCAAAGTGAACCCAGCCCCAGTTTATTAGAAAAGGTGTGAACAGAGTTGCACCGACAGGAGTAGCCCCAGCCCTCTGCCCACCCTCACCCATACCCACGCCCCCTGCCCCCCATGGGTTGTAGTGCCTCTCAGGGCGCAGCCTCCAGTGGCCTGGACAGCAGGGTCCCGGAGTGCCGGCTGCTCCCGCCCCAGCTCCCTGATAGATTTATTGCACTTGAGAAAAAGAAAGCTCTGATCCTCTGCCCCCATCCCCCCACCCTGCCCGGCCTGCACCATCTGGGGCTGTTCTGTGAATCTCAACCACCACCAGCACGCACCGCCCCTCCCACACCAGGCTGCCTGCCCAGCCCTGTGCCCGGGGTCACAGGGGACCATCCCACCACCACCCAGGAACCCTGCCCTCTGCAGGGCAAGCCTGGCCCCTCCAGAACAGGCGCCTGATGTCTTGGAGACCTCCTCCTCCTCCCATTCACCCTCCAGAGTCTTCCAGTGGTGGGCTCATAAACAGAAGTGCTTGGGTAGCACAGGGAGGGCCCCTCCCTAAAGCTCCTGCACCCCTTGTAGTGTTGCTGTGGGCAGGGGGTCCCCAGAATGGCCCCCACCCCTGGCATCCTGGGCCTCAGGAAGGCTGGGGGGAAGGTGAGCAGATTCTCATGGCTCTGGCCTCAGCTCATCGCAGACCGACCGGAAAAAAGGAACTTGAGGAGAGATTGGGGGAGAAAGCGTCAGAGCCAGGGGTCCTCTCAGCCCCTCCCCAGCGCCCCGGGCCCAGGCCTGCCCTCACCTAAAGTGTCACAGTGTCTCCTGTCCGGATTCCTGACTGGCTTCCAGAAGCAGCTCCTCGAGCTCCTTCTCGTTCTTGGAGCAGCTCAGCTCTGCGTGGGAGGACGGGCCAGCCCCTGTCAGCCGGGTGGGGCAGATACAACCTGTTCCCATAGCCCAGCCCCAGCCAGACCCTTGGGGCCTGTAGAGAGCCCGGGGACCACTGGGCCAATCAGGCTCAAGGCAGCACACCTTACATGCCCACCCAGGGAGAGCGCCCAGGATCCAAGGGAAGCAGGGTGGAGCCCCGGAACTAAGTCCCACTTGTCCTGGGCCCTGCAAGAACCCTTTGAGAGAGGGAGCAACGGAGGCCCACAACAGGCAGGGGCCTGCCTGGGGTCACACAGCACCCAGGGCCCCCTCATCACCTGCCCCAGGGCCCCTCTCACCGTGCTCCAGGCCGCAGCTGCCCTGCTTGGCCTCAGGCCCCGGGGGCGGCTCTGGGGGCAGTGCCAGGGCGAACTCGGGCTTCAGTCCGTTGGGCAGCGGTGGCCCTGACTGAGGTGGCTCTGGTGGTGGCCGAGGCTCGGAGGACCCTGTGTCCCATGTGTCAGTGGCCCCAGCTGGGGGTAGGGCGGGTGAGGTGGGTGGGGAGAGAGGGGGTGGGGGAGGGGGTGGGGGAGAGGGCGAGCCAGGGGACGCAGGGAGCTCTGCCCTCTCAGGTGGGCTCTCCACCCGGGTCACCACAAACACCTTGTGGCCCCGGCCCGGGCTGGACACGGAAATCCGCTGCTCAGTGGGTGGGGAGGGGCTGCCTGGGGGACTCCTGTCCCCAGGGCCCAGGGAGTCCATGGGGGGCACCAGGGCAGGACAGGGGGTCTCGCCCCTCTCTCCATCCTCTTCCTCCTCATCCGAGTCCGAGTCTGAGTCCGAGTCCGGGCTGGGTCCGGGGCTGGGGGCCCCATTCTGCACCCCGGCAGCGGGCTCGTCATCAGGCTGGGGCTCGGTGGCAGTGGTCTCAGGCATGGAGACCGACAGCTGCTGCGGCTGCTCCTTCTCCTCCCGCTCCCGCGCCAGCACCAAGTTGCGCTTGCAGCCGTTCTGGATCTCGGCCAGCAGCGCCTTCTGTGTCTCGATGAAGCTCTTCACCTGTGGCGGGAGCGCCTAGCTAGGGATCTCAGGCTGCCCCGCCACTCAGCCTTCCACCCGCCCTCCTGCCCACGCAGGTCCTCAGGGCAGTCCCCTGCTCACCGCCTCCTTCTTGGGCTCACGGTCGAGGTCTAGGCGCAGCAGCGAGTGGTTCACCTTGAGGGCCAACGACAGTGCCATGAGCCCGCCCGTCTTGATCTCGTTCTCCCGAAGGTCCAGTCTCAGGAGGCGGGGGCTCTCAGCGATGAACTCCGCCACTGCCACGGCGCCTGGGGGGGCACCGCAGGGGCTGGCCATGGACCCCACACCTGGCTGGTCCAGCCCCAAGCCCACCAGCCCACCCCCGTCCCGGCCCCGTGCCCTACCCTCGCATGTGAGCTTGGTGGAGGCCAGCCCCAGGCGCAGCACGCTGCGGTTGCTGATGAGCCCGTTCTTGAGGTGCCGCACACCCTCGTTCCCAATGGGGTTGTGGCCCAGGTTCAGCGTCTCCAGGCTCTGAGTGTGCGGCTGGAGGGAGGGAGTGCAAGGGTGAGGAGGGAGCCTCGATGGCCCAGGAGGCCAAGTCAGCAAAGAGGCCAGGACGAGAGCCAGGCCAGGGCATTCCTTCTCCTTGTTGAGCTGGCCTGAGCAGCAGCACCCTCCCGCCCTGCAGCAGGCCTGTACTGAAGTCCCTCCTGTGCCTGCAATGTCCCCAAGGGCCAGGTCCCCTGTCCGTTCCCAGCCCCCCAGGCACCCAGTCAGTCCCTACCCCCCACAGCCTGAGCCCCTGGCCAGGGCCTGGACCTTGAGCGCCCTGAAGCCCCAAAGGTGGGTGACTCTTATGCAGCAGTTGGGCAGGAGAGCTTGGCTGCGTGGCCTGCTTTAAGCACCACACAATTAAAAACTGAAAACTTAGCCAGGCATGGTGGCTCACATTCATAATCCCAATAGTTTTGGAGGCTGAAGTGGGAGGATCACTTGAGGTCAGGAGTTTAAGACCAGCCTGGCCAGTATGATGAAACCCCTTATCGACTAAAAATACAAAAATTAGCAGGGCATGGTGGTGGGCACCCGTAGTCCAGGCTACTTGGGAGGCTCAGGCATGAGAACGGCTTGAACCCAGGAGGCAGAGGCTGAAGTGGCTGCAGCGAGCCTAGATGGGACGACTGCACTCCAGCCTGGGTGGAGTGAGACTTGGTCTCAAAAAAAAAAAAGGCCGGGCGCGGTGGCTCACGCCTGTAATCCCAGCACTTTGGGAGGCTGAGGCGGGCGGATCACGAGGTCAAGAGATCGAGAAACCATCTTGGCCAACATGGTGAAACCCCGTCTCAATAAAAAAAAAAAAAAGAAAAAAATGAGACAATTAAAGAAGGGCTCCTCCTCAGGGAAATAGGGCACAGAAGCTGAATGAGGAAGCAGGTGGGGCTGAGTTTAAACTGTCTGGAACCTGTAGGATGGGAAGAACAGAAGCCGTCCATGGGCAGTGACTGTGCTGAGAGCTGGGGTGGGAGGTGGCGGTGGGGATGGAGGAGCCTCCCTCCCGACAGCCCGACTCACCAGTGTCATGCCCAGGAAGGCCATGCCCGTGTGCGTGAGCTGGTTGTTCCACAGCACCAGGGTCACCAGCCCCTTCCTCTGCTCCTTGAGACCCTCACAGATGTAGGCCAGACCTGGGGGAGGCCGCCAGTAAGAACCCCATCTGGGGTCTGGGTGCTTCCTCGGGGGGGACTGTGGGGTAGGAGTGGCCCCTCTGCTTAGGACCTCCATGGAGGCCCCACAGGCCCAGGCCCTGCCCTGCAGCCCTGCCTCAGCCTGGCACCCCTGGGCACACATCTGTGACCCCTGAGCTTGGGTGCCCGGATGACAGCCTTCCCCAGATGCTTCCAATCTTTGCTCAGATGTGACCATCTCTGGCCCACCTCACCTCGTAGCCAGCTCACTCCCACCCATGGTCACCGCTGTTCAATGCAGCTCCCACCTCTAGAGGCTAGATAACTCATTCATCTTGTCTTTGTCTCTCTAGACTGGAGACAAGCTCTTGAGGGCAGAGCCCAGAGAGCCATGGCCATGGCCCTCACAGCCATGGCCCTCACAGGTGCTACGCAGAGTGGAGTCCGGGCCTGCCACCTGGGGACACAGTGAACCCCCCAACCTCAGACACCAATGCTACTACCACCTCTGCACGCACTGCTCCTCCGTCTGGACCCTTTCCCAGGCTTCTCACATGGCTGGTTCTGCTCCCAGCCTCCGGATGGAAGCCTAGAGGCCCTGCCCCACGGTGGTCTTCCCTCCTCCACCATTTGAAAGCAGCCTCCAGCTGACCCTGTTATCCCAACAACACTGCTTCCTTTTCAGATTGTAATTATTCACTTCACCTCATCCTGCAGCTGTCAGCTGAACTGTCTCCTCCTCCAGGAAGCCCTCCCTGGCCCCCAGACTGATCAGACCCCCTGCCTCTGGCCTCCATCAGTCCAGCCCTGCTCACTCTGGGTTGTCACGGTCTAGGGCGGGTCTGTCTTCCCCCTGGGAGCCCCAGCAGGACAGCATTGGGGTGGCCTTGGCCACATCTGTGTCCCCAGCACCACCTAGCACAGGGCCGGACAGAGTGATGGGTGTGGGGTGGGCCACTGCACCCACCCGAGTCCAGCACGTGGTTGTTCCGGAGGTCCAGGATCTGTAGGGAGCAGTTGAACTTGAGCAGGTTACCCAGCTGGGCCGAGTCCTGCAGGCCATTGAGCTTGTTGTCCGCCAGGTACAGCTCCCGCAGGTTCATGTTCATCTTCAGGGCCGTGGCTGGGGGGGCGGGGCATGGTGACTGGGTAGGCCCCACCCAGACCCAGTCCACAACCCCTGCCCCACAAAGGCCGCACATCTCTCACCCTCCCGTGCCCAGGGCTCACCAAGCAGCATGAGAGGCCGCCCCGACAGGCTAGCATTCTCCAGGTGCAGCACCGCCAGGCTGCTTCGGATGCGCAGGGCACGGGCCACGAAGGGTGCAGAGTGGTCCAGCAGGGGCGTGTTGCGGGCGTCAAGGTACTGCAGGCAGCTCGTCTGCAGGGGCGAAGGGGACAAGCGTGAGGCACTGGCTCAGGCCAGCCCCAGCGCTCCCTGGCCCTGGGATCTGCAGCCCTACATGTCAGCAAGTGATGAGGCCACAGCTGTCATTTGGCAACGTCATCTGGTTTTATGATGGGGAAACTGTGGATGGGGAGGGAAGGCTCAGCCTGTGGTCCCGGGGTGAGCGAGGCAGGGCTGGTGGCAGCCACAATCCCCAACTCCTGTGTGTCTGGGAGGTTCCCAGAGAGCCCCAACCCCTCCCTGCACCCAGCCTTTGAGCATGAGTGAGGTGAGGGTGGCGTCCATGGCCACCTCCCAAGGGGATGATATTACAGAGGGATGACATTACAGAAGGGGAAAAGGGGGGTCATGGAATGCCACACAGGGAGAGAAGGAGCCAGGGGGCCTGGGGGCCAGGACACCTCTTGGCCCTGTTTTCCTCCTGGCCTGAGAGCCAGGCCCAGCATGTCCACGGCAGTCCACACCCCAAGAGCTCAGATAGCCAGTGCCTACATCGCCCCTGCTGTGAGCCTGTGCCTCTTCCTGGAGGCAGGAGGCGCCCACCTTGCGCATCATGTGGGCGGCTGCCTGCCAGCCCCGGGTGCCGATGTGCTTGTTGAAGGAAATGTTGAGGTGCGTGGCCGACTCGTAGTACTCGATCATGTCGAAGAGGGCCGAGGCACCCTGCAGGTAGAGATTCGGGGGCCCAGCCTCAGCTCAGGGCTGCTCTGGGGGAGAGGAGTGGGCCCTGACACCGGGTCCCACCAAGAGACAAGGGTTCCTGGGTCCAGAGAGAGCCTCACGGGAACAGAGAACAAGCACAGACGGGGACAAACCCTTTCTCTTCTCTGCTGAAGCCAGTCTGTTTTCTGTCACTTGCCCTCCAGAATCCTTGACTGATGTGCTGAGTGACCAGGACAGGCCTGGGCATTCCCCAGCCCGGGCCTCAGTACTTCAGGGCCCCGGCTTCTGGATCCCGACACCTGAGGAGCCTGGGGACTCCCAAGGCTGGGGAGGTGACGACGACCCTTGGGCCTTGATGGGAGGCTGCTCTCAGAATGTTTCCCAAGCCCACCCCATAGGAACTGTTCCCTCCGGCATGGTTCCTGAAAGGGCTGGGGGCCACACTCCTGCCCCTTAGCCCAACTCCTCAAGGCTCTCCTTGCTTATGAGGGTGGTCACAGGGGCCCCAGTGCGCCCTCCACATCCACTCTGGTCATACTGGACGTCTTCCTCTTGCTCTGCAAGAGGCCCCGCCCTTGTGCCACCCCTCAGCCTTCATCTAGAGGACCCCCTCCTCCTGCAGTGTCCTCTCCCCACCCAAACCTCGACAGGGCCCAGGAGCTCAGGAAGCCGATTGGGTGATGGCAAGGCCGCTCACATCTTCGTCCAAGTTTGTCTGCTCCAGGTCCACGACCTTGAACTGCAGCCTCTTGAAGACCTCTTCCAGGGCCTCACAGGTCTTGTAGTCAAGCTTCTCACCTGGGAGGAGACAGCGGCCATGTGTGTGTCTGAGACAGTGTGCCTGTGCATGTCGGGGACTGAGGGCTAAGGGAGGCTGGAAGGGTCCTCTGCCCCCAACTTCCCAACCCCCACCAGGCCAAGCCCCTACCCTGGCTGAGCTCAGCTCCAGAAGCTGCTGACCCCCCAGGCAGGTCCTCAGACCCATCTCTAGGGAGCCCCTGACCTGCCCATGACCCAGGCTCCCAGCCCCTGGACAGACACACACCTTTCAGGTCCAGACAGTCGAGGCGGTGCCCGAGGTCTGTGAATTCCTGAGAAAGCAGAGTGGATGGGCGTTAAGGCAGGAAGACACTTGAACCTGGGGGCAGCTGAGGCCCCGAATGGCTATAACGCCTGAGGTCAGGCAGAGTTCCAGGGTTCGGTTTGGGGGAAGGCACTGAACATAGGCTCAGAGGCCATCTACCAGCTGGAACCTGGGGTGCAGGGCCCTTAGACAGCAAGAGAGCTCTGCACCCACATGGCTGAGAACCAGGCAGGCCTGGGCAAAGCCCCTCAGCCCCAGCTGGACTGAGTGAGGGAGTGGGCCCAGCATCTCTGGGGGATGTCCCAGCAGAGGGGTAAGTCAGTGCAAAGGCTGTGAGGCAAGCAATGAGCCTGCGAAGCTGGCAGGGCTGGGCTTAGGAGGCCTCCTGGTAAAGGCAGAGCCTGGGGGCCCAGCACCCAGTCACAGCCCACCCGCCCCGCAGATGCTAGCTCCTGCACTCTGGGCTTACACATAACCTGTGGGGTGGGTGCTGCTGGTCTGAACCAGGCCGGTGGGCTTCAAGGACCCATTCTCTCAGCCACCACATTAAAAAGCCACCCTTCCTGGGACCTGGCAAGTCCCTCTTCTGGAATCTTCCAAAGAACCCACCCTAACCCCAGTGAACAGTCATAGACAATGAGCGTGGCTGCTCCCAGCACAGGCAACCCTGGAACCCTTGGGACCAATGATGCTTCACTGACTGACACCAGGCCGGGCCTGCAGGAGAGGCACCAAGGGGGTGGCAGGTGGAGAGCGACTCATGGAAATGGAAAACCAACAGGCACCTCGAAAATGCCGAGAGGGCAGGAAACGCTGAGTGGCCAACAATGGCGGCTCCCGAGAAGGGGCCTTGGGGCAGGAAATAAGAGGTGGATTTGGTTTTTCAGATCTGTAGTATTTTAATTTTTTTTAAATCTGAGGATATGTATTACTTCTGTAATTCAGACTTTTAAAAATATGCCAGGTGTGGTGGCTCACACCTATAATACCAGCACTTTAGGAGACTGAGGTGGGCAGATCATCTGAGGTCAGGAATTCGAGACCAGCCTGGCCAACATGGAGAAACCCCATCTCTACTAAAAATATTTAGAAAATTAGCTGGGCGTGGTGGCTCGTGCCTGTAATCCCAGCTACTTGGGAGGCTGAAGCAGGAGAACTGCTTGAACCAGGGAGGCAGAGGTTGCAGTGAGCCCAGATTGAGCCACCGCACTCCAGCCTGGGCAACAAAATCAAGACTCCATTTCAAAAAAATAAACAAATAAATAAATTTTGTAATCAGACTTACAAGAATCATATACATGCCTTTTCCCCAGGGTTTCTTTTGGGGCTGACGGATACCTGAATTTCTTACTTGATATAATTCTGTGTTCCTCATATTTATGAAGAACCTGATTAACTGTCAAGTTGAGCAGCAGGCTTTCAAAGAAGTATTCATGCAGGCCCTGGGCTAGGGAGTAGGAGGCCCTCTCCTGCTGGGGTGGCTCCACTACAGGACACCCCACACCCACACCTGACACACCCCACCCCGCCCCACCCTACCTGCAGCTGCCTGAGGAGCTTGGGGATCTGCCTGCAGTTGAGCTTCTGGCAGGCCTGCTTGTAGGCGCCGATGACCTCGTCCACAGTCACGTTCTGGGCTGCAGGCACAGGGGACCCAGGCCTGTGACTGTCCACAACCTGAGTCCCTGATGGGGCTCCACCCACTCCCGCCCCAAGGCCTCTGCCCACAGTGCCCTCTTCAGCTCTCCCCCAACCACCGGCTGCCTGAGCCCTATCCTCCCTTTCAGGCCCCTGCTGGCCACTGCCCTAGGGAAGGTAGCTAGGGCACCCCCACCCCAAGTCAGCACCGCCCTCCAAGCCTCATCTCGGCTCCAAGCACCTTCCCACAAATACACAGTGAACAGCGCACAATCCTATGCATCAGCCACCTCCCCTACTAGACTGGGAGCCCAGGAGAACAGGACTGAGGCTGTCTTGGTCACCACCATATCTCAAACACTGTCTCGACGTTTCGTTTTTGAGACGAGGTCTCACTGTCGCTCAGGCTGGACTGCAATGGTGAGAGCACAGCTCACTGCAGCCTTGACCTCCCAGGCTCAAGTGATCCTCCCCAGGAGCAGAGAACAAAGGTTCGCACTGTCACACCCAGACAATTTTTATTTCTGGTAGAGATGGAGTATCACTATGTTGCCCAGGCTGGTCTCAAACTCCTGGGTGCCAGCAATCTTTCTGCCTCAGCCTTCCAAAGCGCTAGGATTACAGGTACAAGCCACTGTACTTGGCCCTTGGTTTTTTGTTTTTGGATGAGAGAACGAATCTTCACTTCAACTCTGTGAGGAAACCAAGCTCAGCAAGAGAAAGCCTTGCCCAGGATCACACAGCTGGTTATATGGAGCTGGGGTTTGAACTCAGCTCTTAAGAATCCCCACTCCCAAAACACCCTCAGTAGCTAAACATCCCGGTACAGCTATTCAGGGCCAGGCCCCTTCACCCAGACACAGAAGCAGGTGGAAGAGACAGGCCTGGTCCCGGGTGTTCCCAGGGTAACAGGCAATGGCTCCAACGATGAACGAAGGGATGCAGCCCAAACCCAGCAGCTGCAGCCCCCGTCCCTGGGAGGCCCACAGCCACCACCACGCGGAAGGGAGGGCTGGGCTTTCCATCTGCACAGATTTGCCTTTTCTGGACATTTCGTTAAAATGGAACTGAAACTGTGGCTTTCTCCAGTTGGATTCCCACACTGGGCAGAATGATCCCGTTTCAGTCCCTTTACACTGCTGCAGAGTAATTATAGGATGTGCTGCGCTTTGTTTGCCCATTCACCAGCTGACAGGAATTTGTAGTTTCCAGTTTTTGGCTATTAGAGCTTGAGTTTTACCCCAGAGTGACCAGGCGAGCAGGAAGGAAAGGCTATGAGCAGAGGAGGGAGAGGTCAGGCCTGGCCGTCAGAAAGATTTTCTCTGGGCCAGCAGATCTTGGACATGGAGATGACAGGACGGGCAGGGAAGGGGCCAGGAAGAGGGCTTGCTGGCAGCTTCCTGAGGGCTCTCACCCTGCTGCTATTCCCCTGCTGCTGGAGGCAGCAGGAGTCAAGAGAGCGTCCAGTCCAGTAACATCTCCGTGCAGACTCCTCCTCCCACCACGCTGGTAGGCCAAGGGCTCTGCACCCCGGTCTCATCAAGCACTGCCCCATTTTCTAGGGGAAGAAACTGAAGTCCAGGTTAGGTATGGTGATTCCCTGGAACATCAGGCCCTCTCTGGCCACTGTGGTGGGTGGCGGTGGATTGCTGAACTATGATGCTGGAGGTAAGAAGCCAACAGAGACCAGCCGCCAGCCTCCCCAGAGGTCAGGCCTGGTCCCCGCCTGGGCACTTCCTCCTCCTTGTGGGTGGAGGCCTGGGAGGAGCTGCAGGTAATCAGCAGATAGCAGGTGCCCCTCCTGCAAACAGAGGGAGCCCACGTGCTTGGTGACCCTGAAGCTCTAGGGGACGGGAGCTGGCCCTGCCCAGGAAGGCAGCCCCCATGCCATGGACAAGCCCATGCATGCCCCCATCTTAACCAGTCAGGGTCCACCAACCCCCAAGAGTCCATGAACTTGAGAGGAGACACTCATCTCTTTTTTTTTTTTACATATTGGGAGTTGGTCTCCCAAATAGTTCATTATTTCTGAAGTATGTTTCAACACCCTGGGCTTATGTTTCTTTGTTTTTTTTGAAGTTACATGTATATTTCTCATTTATGTTTGAAATTAACATAAATCTTTACAAATTCAATTCTGAAAACCATTACTTAGTTCCTATATACAAAAAATGATTACAAAGTCCTCAAACTTGATCTGTTTATCCCGAGTCACATAAAAATATGTCAAAATGAGCTATTATAATGTCCTTAAAGTTAAATCAACTGATTTAATGAACATTTTCATTTCACACGTTAAGGAAAGTATCTTTTGCAGTCTTGAATAAAGTGCCGATGTACTGATTGAAAGGTTAAAAGAAACTATATCATAGTTCATTCAGTAAACTATAAAGTGCAACGTTCTGCAAAGACCCAATGCTGTTGAGGTCAGTGTCACCTCTAAGCTTGTAGAGGTGTCCTACTGCACTTCCCTCTCACTTCTTTCTCCACTGACCTCTCCCCTTTTGGCCTTTACATCTCATCTTCTCACATCTCTGGTCACAGACTCTGTGCTTCTTTTTCTTTTTTTTGTAGGGTCAAACATTTTATTTATTTATTTATTTATTTATTTATTTATTTAAAGAAAAAAAGGAGTGAAGGAGAGGAAGAAAGAGGAAGAAAAAGAGGGAGAGAGAACGGGAATGTTGCTTTATTCTAAAAATGGGTATTAATAATGGCCGATCAATATTTTGTGTATTTAAGGTGGAGAATGTATATTTTGTATATTTAAAATGGAGAGCTCTATAACTATTTATTGAGTTTACTTGTTCCGGATCTGAGTTCAAGTCCTGGATATCCTTATTAATTTTCTGTCTCGCTGAGTCTAAATCTCTTTATGGGTCTTACGTATCTGGGTGTTAGGATCGTTAGCTCTTATTGTTGCATTGATCCTTTTACCACTGTATCTTTGTTGCTTTGAAATCTATTTTATCAGATGCAAGAATTGCAACCCCTGCTTTTTATTTATTTATTTATTTTTGCTCTCCATTTGGTTGGTAAATCTTTCTCCATCCCTTTGAGTCTTTGTGTATCTTTGGATGTGAAATGGGTCTGGATATAGCATACCATTAGGTTTTGGCTGTATCTTTTGATTGGGGGATTTAGTCGACTTAAATTTATGGTTACTGCCATTTGGTGTTAACTGGCAGTTACCATCTTTATTTTCATAAACAAAACTGAAATTTAGCATTTCCTTCCTATTAACAGAGGCCAAAAATGAGAGAGAGAAAAGAAACAGTGTTTAGCAGACCTTGAGTCTGTCATAAAAGAAAAAAAATGACAGATCCTTTCACCTTGCATTAGTTATCACACATTCTGAGCGCCCAGCAC